CTTCTTCCTGCTTTCCCTTTCGCCTCCCTGCATTGTGCCTACATATGCAAGTTAACCGCCATTTTGTTGTCAGTTAACTGCCATCTGAGTTGGCAGTTAATTTGCATATAGCCCTGATTAGCCAATGAAAAGGGTATCATCGTATGCCAATTACCATTTTTCTCTTTTATTATATAGGATAAGTTCTATCCTGTAAGCCATAATTATTTTGAGAATGCCCTCCATTTTGGTGGTCTGTTTTTCTCTTTGCTCTTTACTTTAGGATCTTTCAAAATAAATTGTGGTGACATTTAAAAATTGTTCCAGTATATACTTGTTCTTATACATCCAGCAAAGTATTCTTTCCTTTTAAATTTAATGAGTACTTGGGCATCCCATCTTGCCAAACACAGGCTTCCAAAACAGTCACTGGTGTGTGCTCCTGTCTTTGACTGTGAACTTGGAGTTTCCTTTTCCAGCTAATGTGGCCCTTGTTTCCATTCTCTTTCTTCTATGTTGACTCACATCTTTTGAGTTTATGATGAAAGGAAGGAAGAATGATTCATCATTAGCTTCCGTCCATAGTCTCATAAATGTTCTTCTCTTTACCTAACTAATCATCATCATTACTGGTTATGCTTCAGAAAGTAAACTGGAATGCAGTTCCAACTGGCTTAATAGAGATCAAATTGGTGAATAATCAGAGAGGCTGCTGTCAAAGTGGCTTGAGTGGTTGAGCACGGAGCTGTGTCACCGTTCTGCTTCTGTGTTCAGCCTGTATGGTAAGGGTTAGAGCTTACTTGGATGGAGTTGGAAATTTGAGTAGTATAATCTAATTTGAAGGAAGCTTAACAGCAATTAAGTGAGCATTACTCGGAACATGAATTCATGAGTAAAATTGCATGTTGGTTTTGTTGTGGGGGAGGGGGAGAAGGTGTGGCAGGTCTTGGGGCAGGGCCAAGGGGAACGCTCATTCCTCTCAATCTGTTTGAAAGGGCAGTTCTTTGAGAGCCCGAAGTGCCTCTGGGCAGGTCACACACAGCTTAGCAGGGACAGTCAGGACTGGCGCTGAGTCCTTCACTGCCTGGCAGTATGTGGATCTGAACTCACTTGACCTTCAGCCACAACTCCATCCTCCCTGCTTGGCCAGTGAGGAAGCGGTCCCATCAAAGTACATGCCCTTGACATATGCCTGGCTATGCTCATCTCGTCCCTCCCTGTAGGACCTGCTGTCCCTGCCTGCACCTGTGGGAGAGTGCTTGCAGGTTTTGTGAGAACTTTGTTTCTTTAACAGGTATCTGTATCACAAACCTCAATATAAGAGCTAAAACTAGAAAACCCTTAGAGATGGCATCTTTCACTTACTCTTGTTAGGAAAAAAAATCCCCTATTCAGTGGCACGCCTGCTATATAGAAATAATCCTGTGGTTGCTCACCTCCTTGCCTTTGCTCGGGCTGATTCTGACCTGAAAAGGACCTGTCCTCTGATTTTACATGTCTAAACCCTCTCTATAATCCACACTAGTCCCTGAGCTGTCTGATTCCCCCAGGTCCTGTAGGTCACCCATCACTTTGTGTTTATAACTGCTGAGTCCTTTCAGGCTGGGAGCTTCTTATGGGCAGTGACAAGGTCTTAGCTACAAGGAACAAAAACAAATACCGTCATGCTTGAAACATGGTAGATATTCAATGAAAATTTGAATGAATAAATGAAAGGAAGAGAAAAATATATACAGTCATTCTTACCTAACTTTAAATTGCTTAACTGTTGGATTTGGGGCTGATTCTTCTTCATATCCTACAGTAGCTGGATTTGTGCATGATAGATCCTCTTTTTTGTATTTTTTTCAGCTTTATTGTGACAAATTGATTGACAAATACAACTATAAGATATTTAAAGTGTACAGTGTGGTGATATGGTAAATGTATACATTGTGAAAGGATTCCCCCATCTAGCTGATTAACATATATGTCACCTAACATGTTTATAATTTTTGTTTTTCCTTTTGGTGAGAACATTAAAGTTCTACTCTTAGTGAATTTTAATTATTCAATAAATATTTCTTGAATCAGTGGATGGATAGTTTATTATGATATGAACTGTCTGAATGCTATATTGCTCTATTTTACTTTTAATAATGTAATGTAGGGGCTCTTACTACAGCTAAAATATTTTTAAAATATGTTGCTCTCTTTTTTTTTAATATATTTTATTGATTTTTTACAGAGAGGAAGGGAGAGAGACAGAGAGTCAGAAACATCGATGAGAGAGAGACATCGATCAGCTGCCTCCTGCACACCTCCCACTGGGGATGTGCCCGCAACCCAGGTACATGCCCTTGACCGGAATCGAACCCGGGACCCCTCAGTCCGCAGGCCGACGCTCCATCCACCAAACCGGTTTTGGCTATGTTGCTCTCTTGATTGTCCCTGGTAAATTTTTTTTAATCCTCACCTGAGGACACATTTCTACTGATTTTGAGAGAGGGAGGGAGAGAGAGAGAGAGAGAGAGAGAGAGAGAGAGAGAGAGAGAGAGGAGAGAGAGATGCCTCCTATATGCTCCCAAAATCTAGGTATGTGCCCTGACTGGGATTCGAACCTGCATCCTTTTGGTGTACAGGATGGTGCTCCAACCAACTGAGACACCCAGCCAGGGCATCACTGTTAATTTTTATCAGTGATTATTTTTTACTTTAAACTTTTTCTTAATTTTGACTTTAACACGTGGCATCTTGTGCATTCTTAATTTCACAGAGGAAGTTAGAAAAAGAAGGTTCACCCTAGCTGGTTTGGCTCAGTGGATAGAGCGTCGGCCTGCGGACTGAAGGGTCCCAAGTTCGATTCCGGTCAAGGTCACATGCCTGGGTTGCAGGCTCGATCCCCAGTAGGGGATGTGCAGGAGGCAGCTGATCAATGATTCTCTTTCATCATTGATATTTCTATCTCTCTCTCCTTCTCCCTTCTTCTCTAAAATCATTAAAGATATATTTTTTAAAAAGAAAAGAAAAAGAAAGTTCGCTTTTTAAGAAAAACATGAAAGAGCTTTTCTATGTCGTTAGCTCCTGCCTCTGTGTGTGGGTGGGCTTCCAGGACTAGCAATTATTTCTACAATAGTGGTTGAGTAGTTCATTTCAGAATCATGGCTCCATCCAGAGACACATTTGGATGCTTTCAGTAGGAAATGGAGTTGGGCAGCCTTTATCGCCACCGCTGGAGCACTAAGGGGTTCCTCCAGCCCCAGTTAAGTGGTACCCAATTACTCTGCTTCTGGTGCACACCAGGAGGCTAACACTGTGCTCCTGTTCTTATGGCGAAGGCTGCCTGCCAGTCTTCTGACAGCCTTTCACTATATAATACTTGATTAGGATCAGTTCATTAATAGTCTTTGTTTGTGGTCATCTTACTTGGTACAAGCCTACGTAGGAGCGAAATGAATAGAACTGCCTGAAAAATATTCATGGTCCTGTGTGCCTTTGTGACCCTGGCTGCCTGAAGATTCATTGCTGCTGATGGTTTTGGTTGTGGTGTCTTGTACTTTGTGTCTTGTTTTGTTTTTGTCTCTTTTGGAACCAATTGACAAGAATTACCTTGGTTCAAAGGACTTGGTGGAAAAGATAACAGATGCCTGTGTGTGTGTACTTGGCATCATTCCAATGACCTATGAGAGAGGAACAGTCCTAACCCATGTAAAGGAGCAAGTTAGTTACACAAAGTACTTAGGTTGTAAAGTTGCCTGCATTTGGCAATGAGTACCTGCAAGAGGAGGAGAGTCAGCGAAAGAAGGTCAGAAGATTGAAGGAAAGAAATTTACTTTTAGAAAATTCTGCAAACTTATTGGAAGCAAGAGAGTTTCTCTGATGTATTAGAAGAATAATCCAGGACCACTGAAATATACAAAACAGTCGCCCCCTTTTATAAAATATGGGGGCACTGTGTACCCATCTACCCCAGAAATGAGCAAAGTATTTGCCATGACAAGCTGTCTGTGATAAGCCATTCACCGGCCACTGGACATTACAGGAATCCTACGGTCTCACAGGTGGGGCAGTTTTAAGCGTTGGACCTAGTGTCAAGACTTTTGAGCAGTGGTGTAAATCCATCAGATATGCTGCCGTCTCAGCTTGTTTGAAGTAACTAACTTTGTCTGCATTTTTTTTTGTCTCCTTCAGAAATGAACACACCTGAGCATGCTCAATGCCTGTGAGCTCCCCCATCACCTCACCACGTTGGGAAGCCTCAGAGAAGGCAGGTGCTGGAGCAGTGGCCGCTGAGGGCAAGCTTCTTCCCTGTGGCCTTGACCTTCCTGTTCCCAGTGCACGATGGAGACGCTCTCGCAAGATTCCTTGCTGGAATGTCAGATCTGTTTCAATTATTACAGTCCCCGGCGAAGGCCCAAGTTGCTGGATTGCAAACACACCTGCTGCTCGGTGTGCCTTCAGCAGATGAGGACGAGCCAGAAGGACGTGAGGTGCCCGTGGTGCCGAGGCATCACCAAGCTGCCTCCGGGCTTCTCCGTGTCACAGCTCCCCGACGACCCCGAGGTCCTCGCCGTTATCGCCATCCCGCACGCCTCCGAGCACACCCCGGTCTTCATCAAACTTCCCAGCAACGGGTGCTACATGCTGCCCCTTCCCATCTCCAAGGAGCGCGCGCTGCTGCCCGGAAACATGGGCTGCCGCCTGCTGCCCGGGAGCCAGCAGAAGCCAGTCACTGTGGTGACCATCCCTGCGGAGCAGCAGCCTCTGCAAGGCGGGGCTCCCCCGGAGACCCCGGAGGAGGAGCCAGACCGGCGGGGCGCGGTGAAAAGCTCCACTTGGTCGGGGGTGTGCACTGTGATCCTGGTGGCCTGCGTCCTGGTCTTCCTGCTGGGCATCGTGCTCCACAACATGTCCTGCATTTCCAAGCGCTTCACTGTGATATCCTGTGGCTGAAGCGGGCTGCGGGGGCGTGACTGGTGGGTGCCAACTAGGGTGGAGCAGGCGTTGATGATGGGACTCGGGTGAGAAGATGGGGGCGACGCTGATCATTTGGTGCCGAGCGCTGGCCTCCGGGCTGCCAGTTGATTAACCCAAGACAGACAGGGCGGGGCAGAATGTGAGGTCTCAACAAAGATGCCGGACGGGTCGCTCTGAGCATTGATGGCGCAGCTTCGAAGACGATTGCATGCATCCTCGTAGTCATTTATTAAATGGACTGTAACTTATGATTTTTCAAAGTCACGTGAAGAGATAGACATATTCTACTTAGATGTTGACCTGTGCAAGTGCATACGATGTGATCTTCTCTACATGTGGTAGATTAAAACCAAGATGCTATGTGTACAAGTAGAATCCAACCTGAGAATGAATCCATGACCAATTCAGTGACGACCCGCAATGCTGTTTTCTTTTCTTTTACAACCGAAACCCAGTCTTCACTTAGTTGCTAAGGCTTTTTATACTTTTCAAATGGCGCCCGAATTTAAGTTAAGCGGACCGTCGGTTTTTGAAGAAACTATTTGAACAAGTGTTTCCAATGTATTGTGTTTTGTTTGTCGTGTTCCTTCATTTTTCTTCCCTTGTAATTAGAGCTCGATATGTGTTTATTAAATGGGAAGCTCAACAGGGGAGCAATAAACTGAGTAATGATGAGAAATGCCTAATCCCACAGGAAAACTATATGCCAATTTTTCTCAAGCCATCTCACAAAATAAGAATTTTAAATGTAAATATTGTGTATTTATATGTGTGTGTAATTCGGTTTACTTCGGGTTTTGAATCTTTTCAGAAGAATCTTGGTAGTAAGACTCGGTAGGCATGAATGAGTGCAGGGTCTGAAACGGTGCCACCTACCTCCTGGGCACTGGGACCCACTCAGTGAGGAGTCACACACTCGTCACTTCCAACACCTGCTCCTCTTTTGTGCAGTTGAGTTGTGAGGCACAAATGGAGAGTAACAGAACCTTCTGTCTTTTCTCCCAGTTTGAGAATATTGTAATAGTCACGAGTGTTGTTAACCGATGATAAACCTGGACTGGCATTTTAATAGACAGACCACAGTTATTTTTTGAAAGAGATTATTGTTCCATGAGAGTTGAACCATTCCGAATTCCAGTTTCCTTTTGTTGTATAAGTAAGAATATCCCTTATATCTGGAAATGTGTTTTTATTGAGAAAAGTGGTGAGGTAAACCTAGAACTCACATTCTCAATTTAAATGGACCAGTTCATCCTAAATTCTTAAGTGGGTAATGGTCTGTAGATGCTCACAAAGAAAGATTTGCTAGATGCAATGACGAATTCCTATGCTGGGTGTGTGTGTGTGTGTGTGTGTGTGTGTGTGTGTAAATAGCTGTGAGCTTTACAGTCCTCTTCTAATTTCCTTTATGACATTCCTGAAGCAAGTGGTATGTGACAAGGACTCCTCTCATAAATATCTATGTTTATGTTCCATTGAATCCGTGAAAATAGGGGAGAGGAAGATAAGCAGTGACGGGCTCCAAAAAGCAAAGCTGGAAATAACCCTCTAAGATGGAGACAATTTAATTTACTTCTATGCTAGCTATGACCTTCAAGCAGCACAAAATATGCACATTAAAGTGATGGAAATTAGGAGAGATAAAATGACAATATAATGACTAGAATCCAGAGCCAACACTGTTCATTGGTGTGAGGATTCAATAAAAAAAAATATGAACTCGGGCTTTTCAAATCTTTCTAATTTTTCATAAGACCTTTAGGAAATGTATTTGAAAGCTCAAACTAGATATTAGGTTAAAATGCCATTTTATTGTGTAAGCTATTGGGCATTATACAAAAATCTAGGATTTATTTGGTATTAATAATTTAGGTATCCTATTAGCTGAATGCTATCCTCTGTTATGTAACATAATATACTGTTGGGTTAGTGTCAATTTCTCCAACTGAACCAGGCTGCTGTAATGCACATCTGACCCAATTTCTATTTCTTTTGGGGGGAAAAATAACACCAAAAACACAGAAATGTTGCATTGAGAACACTACATTTCAAATGGACTGTACCCTTGCAATTTTAAGCCATGCCATATTCCAAATAATTTTGTAAATGATATCTACATATGTTTATGTACAGTAAGAAATGACCGGCTGTGTAGTGTAGTATTTGATAGACTTCTATGTGTTAAGTAGGTTATATACAGACACTAAAGTATGTGATAGTACAGCGCCCTGTGTTTCTTAGTGTAAAAATATTGAGTCAAGTTACCATTCACGTAACTTTTACTTAAAAACAATCCGATGCTAGAGCTGCAATTAAGCAGTGCGAAGTTAATCAGCTCCGTGATAGGACCTTGACTTTACAACCTAGGATAACAATAACAACCAAAAGCAGAATTTTCTATGTGAGTCTTACTGACATAAAAAACACTGATTGAATGAATTCTGCCTACAGTTACTTGTGCACCTGCTTGTTAGGGTGTGTGTGTGTGTGTGTGTGTGTGTGTGATGTCTCAGCCTGCCAGATAGAATTTTTATGGACTTGATGTTTTAATGGTATTTGGCATCCCATTGCTCTGGCCTCTTCTGGCATTAACCCATAACACTAACAACTCGTCGACCCCATGTGACCAAAGTCCAGTGGCACAATCAGCCAGCATTGACAGTTGCATATCATGAAAAAGTCACAACTGAAAGCACAGAAAGTTAGAGTTGAAAGCAACCTCCAGTGGCTTCATTTGTAGGTGAGTCCACTGAGGCCCACAGACTGATAGAGCTGCTTGAAATTCTGAAGCAAAAGGGAGACAAGAACTTTGTACTTCTTCCTAGGCCTGTCATGGGCTCTGCATGATCTTCAGGGTGGATGAATACCCTTTACTAACTCACCTCTTGCTTTAAAGTGTGTG